TAGAGGATACAGCACACCCAGGCCAGTGCGGATAGGAGGAGTAAGGAGAAAAGACGTAAAGGTTGAAACGTGGGCGTTACAAAGCCCACGTTAAGGGTCTGAGAGTCTTGAGTCTTTGCTCCAAGATAGAGAAGATAGCTTGAACGCCTGTTACTGAGATTACTCAAATCTGGCTGAAGGGGATGGTGCACACATTTAATTCCAACTTTTCCTGAGGTTGAGGCAGGGGGATTGCCCCGAGTTCAAGACCAGCCTGACCTATGTAGTGAGTGCCAAGCCAGCCAGGACCACACAGCAAAACTACTCAAAAAAAAAAAAAAAAAAGTATTGAAATATGAAGTCTGTCTGCCTTTTGGTAGGCCTGTGCTGGAACAAGAGACCTGGTCCATCTCTGGCGTTGTTTACCCATCCCTCAGGTTCTGAGTACAGATTTAACGACGGTGGGAGTAAAGGAAACTACAATAGTTTTCTGGGGCTAGTTCCGTGGAGCTGCCCGTCGAGAGTCTCCCCAGCCCATGAATGGAACATCCTGGTGTGTTCAATGGCATGGGTTTCCTTTAAGTGCCCTTGGGAAGAAGATAAAGTGGTTAGTTCGTTATACTGGTGTCAGCACAAGTATTGAACAAACAAGTTAGCCAGATGTGGTGGCTGCAACACTGAGGAGGCCAAGGCAGGGTCATCAGAAGGATGATTGTGGGTGCAAAGGCTGGTCTTAGTAATAGACTAATAATAGACTTAGAAATAGACCAGCCCACGAGATTAAGGATTTTGGTGATGGCTCACCATCCCCCCCCCCATGAGATTAAAGACCTAGGTGACAGCTCAGTCAGTTAAATGCTTGCTTAGAAAGCATGAAGCTCTGAGTTTAAGCCCCAGAACTCACGTCAAAAAAGTCAGCTATAAGTTAGGAGAAGCAGGTGGTGCATGCATTGAATCCCAGCACTTTGGAGGCAGAGGCAGGCAGATCTCTGAGTTAGAGGCCAGCCTGGTCTACAGAACAAGTCCCAGGGCAACCAGGGCTACATGGAGAAACCTGTTTGGGGGGCAGGGAGCAGCTATGGGTGGCACATAGTTGTATCTATTTCAGTGCTGGAAGGATACAGGCAGACACCTGGGGACCCTGGTCATTCAGGCTACCCAACTTGGCAGTTGAGTGAGAGACAATGTCTTTAAAAACAAGTCTGAGTTGGTGACATGGCTCAGTGGGTAAAGGCAATTACTGCCAAGCCTGAGTTCAACCCCTGGGACAACATGGTGGAAGGAAAGAACCAACTCTTGAAAGTTGTCCTCCGTCCTCGCATAAACACTGTGCACACACACAAATAAAATATAATAAATTAAAAAAAAAAAACCCACAGTGGGCAGATTCTGAGGAACGGCAATCAAGACTATCCTATGGCTTCACACCCTCTCCCAGACATACAGAAACAAAGAGCAAAGTGAAGTATGGAAGTCTCAGTGCTCACAGGCTGGTATTGAACTTACTATAAAGCTGAGGGGGACTTTGAACATCTACTCCTCCCCGACTCCAGCCCTCTACTGCTCCCAGAAAGAGCGGGAGCACACCCAGCTGCAAAAACCTTCTGCATGGGTTGGGTGTGGTGGAGCATGACCGTGCACCGATCTGTGAGTTCCAGACCAGCCCGAGCTACAAAGTGAGATCCTTTCTCAAAACACGTGCATGCACGTGCGTGCACACACACACACAAGTATAAACCAACCACTTTGTTTCAATTATATACAAGTTGAGCCATATAGAAGTGCTATTTTATAGGTCAAGAGGGTATAAAATTGTTGATTTCATCTTTATGTTTGCACTGGGCGACAGTGTTCATCGCATTGCTTATGATGAATCACAGTCCAAACCATAGAAATATCAAGAGATTTGCGATAAAGTATGTCTATACATGTACAGACAATATAGGTTTAGTCACTAAATCTCTGAAAACAGGAACTAGGATCACTCCTGGCTCCCATTTCCCCTCTAATTTGCTCCACAGGTACTAAACCTAGGAATGCATTAGCTTAAGAGGCAGAATAGGCTGGAGAGATGGCTCAGAGGGTAAGAGCATTGCCTGCTCTTTCAAAGGTCCTGAGTTCAATTCCCAGCAACCACATGGTGGCTCACAACCATCTGTAATGGGGTCTGGTGCCCTCTTCTGGCATGCAGGCATAGACACAGAATATTGTATACATAATAAATAAATAAATATTAAAAAAAAGAGGCAGAATAGGTCAAATACCTAGATTCTGGAAGGATTCATGGGCCACAGATAGAGTGGGGGTGGGGACATGGAGGTGGGAGAGCCTGAAATCCACAGCAGCCCCACTCAGCTTCCAAAGAATTTTAAGTCCTATACTGCAAGGCGCTACCCCACCACATCCACAGTGGAGCAAGGCGCTACCCCACTACATCCATAGTTGAGCAAGGCGGTACCCCATCACACCCACAGTGGACCACAGTGAACCAAGGCGGTACCCCACCATATCCACAGTGGACCAAGGCGGTACCCCACCACATCCACAGTGGACCAAGGCGGTACCCCACCATATCCACAGTGGACCACAGTGGACCAAGGCGGTACCCCACCACATCCACAGTTGAGCAAGGCGGTACCCCACCACATCCACAGTTGAGCAAGGCGGTACCCCACCACATCCACAGTTGAGCAAGGCGGTACCCCATCACACCCACAGTGGAACAATGCGGTACCCCATCACACCCACAGTGGAGCAAGGGGGTACCCCATCACACCCACAATGGAGCAATGCGGTACCCCACCACACCCACAGTGGAGCAAGGCGGTACCCCACCACATCCACAGTGGACCAAGGCGGTACCCCATCACACCCACAGTGGAGCAATGCGGTACCCCATCACACCCACAGTAGAGCAAGGTGGTACCCCACCACATCCACAGTGGACCAAGGCGGTTCCCCACCACACCCATAGTGGAGCAAGGCGGTACCCCATCACACCCACAGTGGAGCAAGGCGGTACCCCATCACATCCACAGTGGGAGGTCCTGGGAAAAACCCTACTCTGTCCTCAGCTTTCCTTCCAAGGAGCTGCTTTCTCCTGGGCTACTGTGTTGTGTCCCAACCTATTTAGGATGACTTCGTCCACACTGACTTTTGTCCCCACTGCCTTCCTAGAAAGGCAGATTCTAGAAAGCCGTGGTGCAAGCACTAGCAGTACTTAGCTCTAGACTAGGTCTGGGACGAAAAGTACAGTGTACTTTACATACACTGTACCTACCACCAGTCGGTTTCTCATCAGAATTACACTTTTACCTATTTTCTCTTACGTTCAAGCAAAACTCAAGAAACAAAGCAGAGGTGAGTTAAATGGGCTTTGATGTTGGCTACACACACACACACACACACAAAAATCAGGGTTAAGATTTTGAATTGGGAATGGCAACACATGCCTGTCATCCCAGCACTTGGGAGGTAGAGGCAGGAAGATCAGAGTTCAAGAGCAACCGCAGCTTGACGATTATTTTTGGGCCATTATTTTGGGCCATGTGAGTTCCTGTCACACACAAACTAACAATACTAAAGTCAGTTTTACCTCCAAATAAGGCTGACTTTCCTAACACTGGTGGCCTTCAGAGACTGTGTGTGTGTGTGTCTGTGTGTGTGTGTGAGAGACACAGAGTCGGTCCATGCAGGTAGAGGGAAGGAAACATCAAGAAGAAAATGGCTATGGAGACTGAGGTAGTGATCACGGAAGAAGATCCAGGAGCTACCTTTTTTTATGTAGCTGATATGTGGGTGTTCTCTGTGTATGCCTGGTGCCAAGGAGGCCAGATACTCTAGAACTAAAGTTGGAGATAGTTGTGAGCAGCCAAGTGGGTACTGAGAATTGCCACCGGGTGCTCTGGAAGAGCAGCCAGTATGTGCTCTTAATGGCTGAGCCATCTGTCCAGTCCTTGGCCTTGATCCTGGCCTCTACCAACCAGATTCTAGGATTACAGGAATGTATCTCCATGCTTAGTCTCTGGCTGGAGCTCTAACAGGGTTTCATGCATGCCAGGCAAGCACCCTACCAATGGAGCGCTCTGATTTTTGTTTTCTTTGGGACAGAGCCTGGTATGTAGCTCAGGCTGGCCTGGAGCTCACAATTCTCTAGCCTCTGCCTCCTGAGGTACTTTCCAAATATAATATAATTAATATAATATAATATATACTCTAGATATTCTTTACGTATATATACTATTCTTTACATATACACACACGCACGCGCGCAATTTGTGTATACCAGTGTTTTGCCTGAATGGATGGATGTGTGCCTGACACCTGAGGAGGACAGAAGAGGGAGTCTTGCTCCCTGGAACTGGAGTTACAAATAGTTGTGAGCTGTGTTGTGGGTGCTGGGAACTGAACCTGGGTCCTCTTCAACAACAGCAAACAAGGGATCTTAACCACTGAGCTATTTCCCAGCTCATCTTTTTTTCTCAAGATTTATTTTTATTTCATGTGTGTAAGTGTTTTACCATTATGTGTGTAAGCGTGTGCCTGGTACCATTTTACCCCACAGGTGCCAAAAGAGGGTATTGGCCTCCCTGGAACTGGAGTTACAGCCAGTTGTGAACTGCTGCTTATGTGGGTGCTGGGAACTGAACCCAGGTCCTCTGCAAGAGCAGCCAGTGCTCTTAACCCCTGAGCCATTATCTCTCCAGCCCTGGCCTTCCTAGTTTTAAAGGGACTCAGAGCCTGTTTATGTCATTAACCCCTTTTTCTGTTTTGATAGTCCCCCATCGTCCATCTACATCCCTGAGTGTGGGGACCAAGTCACTGGCAAAGAATAAACGGCTGACACACAGGTTAAGACGGATCACAAAACATCTGGAAACTGGAAAGCAGGGCCAGTATCTACTAGCCAGTCCTGTCCACACCTGACTAAATGAAATCACACCACCCCTTCTCATCAGCGAAGAGAAGAAAAAAGATTATCTTTCATGAGCAAAGGAAGAAGTAGAATCTTACAAACAGACTGTAAAAAAGGCTTCTTTATTGAGAGCAGCGAGTGTAAAAAAAAAAAAAACAAACAATAACAACAACAACAATAAAAGTATGAGGCAGGGGTGGCCCACCCTCCCCAATTCCTCTAGGGTTCACCCAGACCTCCCCATGCCCACCCACCCAACGCTGCAGTTACATAAAAAAGCCGCCCACGGTGCATACAAAAAGGGCGGGCTATATAAGTGTCAAAAGCCCCTGAACACTTCATCTGCCAGGCACTTGGGATGAGGAAAGGAAATGGGGGCACAGGTCTGGTTAGTGTGCACAAGTCCACAGTGGGGAGGACTCAACTGCTATGTCCTCCACAACCTGCTAGACCCCCAGGTGGGACCCATGAGCCAAGCGGCCTGTTGGTCCGGTGTGCCCGAGCTATGCAGGAACTCGCGTATATTAGTATAGTAAAGAAGTTCCCCAGACCTAGCTCGGCCCAAGCCCAGCCCTCCCTAGGCAACATTGGCAGATGAGTGGCAGAGCTGGACCCGGCCAAAAGAAGTCTCAGACCAGAAATCAGGGTTACCTGAGGCACCCATACTGTCCCTGATGAGGAAAGGGGTGGCAAAGAAAGATGCCCAGTCCAATGTCCTAGACATCCAGCCTGGGTTTGCATCAGCCTCCCCAGGGGCTGAGGCAAAGAACCGCCTAGGCACTGCCTGTCCACGACAATGCTTTGTGCTTGGGTAGGGACCCCAGGCCAAGAAGAACGGGGTACTCTAGTCCATCATGCTTCAGGCTCCCCTCAAGAGATGCTCTTCCCTGTCCATGCCATCCTGAAGCGCAGCCTGCAAGGCTTCCTCACTGCTTGCTGTCTGCAGGGCTGTCTCCCAGGGTGCTGGCGATCTCACTGAAGGAGGGTCGGTCCTTGGGGTTCAGGGCCCAGCAGCGCTGCATCAGCCGATAGAGCTTAGAGGGGCAGCCTTCGGGCTGTGGAAGTCGAGCCTTCCCAGCCTGCAGGTCTGCAGGGCAGACAGGAGGCAGAGTGTTAGCGTGAAGTGTGCAGTTCCCCCAGCAGCCATGCATGGGTCGCTGCTCTGGGGAGTAGTGGTCAATGATGGGTGGGTACCACATTCTAAGGAGTATGGAAGACATTGCATAGACAGAGATAACCCTGCTCCCCAGTTCACTCTGGCAGAGCTGAAGTGACTGACAGAGGCACTGAAGGTAAGTGTTATTTGCTACCCAGTATGAAAGTATCCCAGTAAGTTAGTTTTGTGTTTTGTAGACTGGGGAAGAACCTAGGGCTTCTCATATTCTAGCCAGGGTTTATCTCTTCCCATTCAACCTGAGCCTGCTTCTCAGTATTTTTTAAAACTACTTTGTTTGTTTGTTTGAGACAGGGTTTTTCTGTCTAACTCTGGATTTCCTGAACTTGATTTTGTAGACCAGGCTGTCCTCGAACTCACAGAGATCCGCTTGCCTGTGCCTTTCTAGTACTGGGATTAGAGGCATACTCCACCACACCTAGTTAAAATTACTCATTTATTGGTGAGCCTTCTAACTGGCCCATATTTACGTACTTCTAACAATTGGAGAAGTCAGATCTTCCTAACTGGTAAGTACCACCCCTAAGGGAGGAAGTAGCCTCAATAGCGCTGGGGGCTAAGCAAGCAGAGGTGGGATGGGGAAGTTGGGGTCCCATCCAGAATCATCTCTCAGACACGGCTACTTACCTGCCAGCACTTCATCATCTGCCTGTCCGCTATGGGGCATCTCTCCGTGAGTGAACACCTCCCACATCAGCACACCGAAGGCCCAGACATCAGACTTAGTGGAGAAGTCGCCCTCCAGGATGGCCTCTGGGGACATCCAACGCAGAGGCACCCAGGCCTGGCGGAAGTGGTAGTACTCACTGAAGCAGAGAAGCAACACAGGGAAGGAGGTCAGAGAGGGCCAAGGCTGGCCCGGCCTCATCTCAGACTAGGCCTCCCCCAACACCGACTTCAAAGGAATCAGTAAAGCGTACGCTGAGCACAGGGGTATGCTGGATCAACTCTGGACGTGGATCCATTTGAGTTGAGGTTTGAAGGTTTAGAAATTCCTTTAAGAGGGGCTGGAGAGATGGCTCCCTGGGTAAGAGCACTGGCTGCTCTTCCAGAGGTCTCAGGTTCAATTCCCAGCACCCACATGGTGGTTCACAACCTCCACTTCCAGGGGCCCAGCTCAACTCTCTCTTCTGGCCTCCATGAACACAAAATACCACACTGGTGCTCAGACATACATGCAGACAAAAAAGCATCATGTAAAATAATAAATATTCCATTAAGAGGGGTTGGAGAGATGGCTCAAGGTTAAGAGCACTGGCTACTCTTCCAGAGGACATGAGTTCAATTCCTAGCACTCAGATGGTGGCTCACAGCCATCTC